GTGACAACCATGTCATCAAAACATAAAAAGAAGATAACATCACTATAGATAAGATAGAGTGATTGAAGGCAACAATACACATCTTCAACTCTTCACGATACTTGGTTACATCATGTTGAACATCATAGTTGGTACTCTAGATCTTCAGCAGAGGTTATGATGTAGCATCATCGGTCGTTTGAGAAGGATGAACAATCATGTTTGCGACTGTTATTGTTATGGTTTAAGCTTTGAGAATAGAAGGAAAGAGAATTTGGGGAAAACTTAAGTCTGATTGCGTAAAAAGTGAATGAAACACCCCCAAAACCCTTTTATACGTAAACCCCAAGTTTGAATTTGAAGCGATTATTCATTAAGATTATGCCACATGTTTCCTTGAAAATAGGACCGATTACCACATCATATGCCACACCTGAAAAGTTATGCGTACTTTTTCCTTGAAAATCTTGTAGCACCTAGACATTCACATCAAAACAGAGTTTCATTTGCCCTAATGGAATAAGAACCATCAATGACCCTTTGGCATGGATGGCGGGCTCTTTCGCTTTCGGGTTGAGAAGTGAAGTCATTTTCCAGATATTTCGAAATCGTCAGCCTGATTCGGTATTACTCAGAACCTCAAGGATTTTAGTGTGAGCAAATATGTTCCAAAAAGTAATATAAGAACAAATTTAAGAAAATTTTGGTTCGGTGATGTCAATCGACATAAAGCAGTTAAGATCCCAGGCAAACATCACTTCGTTCCACATCAAGAGAGGTATCGAACAGCTTGTGTGGTATTTCATAAAGTACAACTGAATAATCATAAAGAAGTATCGAAGGGTGTCTTTTAATAAGTCTTCGAAGGTTGGATCAAATTTTGTTCATGATCACAACTTAAAATAAGTGTGAATGCAAGAAGAAAAATTACTTGTATGACCAGTGTAGTCAGGGACAAGTTAAGATCGGATAAAATTGTTAGTGACACAGGAGCGAAGTGATATTCAGATAGAAACCATATTCCTTGAAAAATAAATTGATGGATGTTGTTGGTTAAAAACGTCTTGATTGAAGAACATTTTATCAAGACCACTCAAAACGAAGGAATATGATTTTGAATATCAAAAGGTACACAAATAAGTGTTTCGTTAAAATCTTGAACTTAAAGTTCACCGTCAATTCCTGAAATAGTTAGAATCCTTAGGTTTCACCTTCATCACGGTTTCATAAATCAGGATCATGAACACAGACTTGTGATATATCTAAATCCTGGTTGGTTCGAACCAGAGATCTCTTGGATATATGTCACTGTGTGATCGTGAAAGAACAAAAACTTTAGGACAAAGAGTGCTAAAATGGGATTCATAGGAGAGGGATACGATTTTTTAAATCATTAATTTTTACCCCCATTAGGCACAAAGATAAAAGTCAAAACTAGCTAAAACAAGCTAAAGGAGAGTTGTAATACTCCTTGAGATAATCACATAGATATAAAGAGGGCTTAGATCAGAGCTCGCATGAAAGAGCTATGCTTTTTACAAATTCGTTTCGTGTGTGCGAGGTGTGCGCATCTGCCCGTTGCGCACCTCACTCCGGATTTGAGTAGATTGTAAGTGACATGACCTATTAGGGAAGTGACATGTAGCCTTCTCTAGATAGAGCCACGATGCTCACAAGAGACACGTAAGATCCTTGCATCGCACGCACCCAAATTTTGTTCCTATAAATAGAAGGCAGTGTAGAACCTATTCTTCACGCCTTCTAAACATCTCTCTCTCTCTCACTCTCTCTCTCACACACACACACACATACAACACTCGAATTTGATGCCCTTGTAGCAGTCCCCAGAGTCGAAATCCCGATTCAACACTACATCAACAGTCTCATGTGCAAGGGTGAGTTTATGGTCCCATTTTATGATTTTAAAGGTTTTACTGGGGGAATACATGCTTATCAAACTGCTTTATTAAAATATATCTATATCTATAAATATCAATTGTTATATAAAGCATGAAACGTTAGGATAATGTAGATATAGATATTATACCTTGTTTTAAGCTATCATATTATGCCTAAGAATTATGATGTCTGATAGTCTAGGATGTGATATTACCTAGATCATGTAATGGCCAATTTCCTAGGATAACATAGTATGTAGAAGTTATGGTGTCAAATATAAGGAAATGCAATGTACCTTATCATTGATCTGCCCAAATATCATGTTTTTTAAATTAACCATAATTAGGGTATATATGTATGGCAAAATAATATATATATATATATATACATATATATATATATATATATATATATATATATATATATATATATATATATATATATATATATATATATATATAAGATCTAAAAGGGTATAATTATCAAATATAAAATTAAAAGATTTATATTATTATAGTTATAGGTAATCACTAAGTAAGAAAGATAAAATATAAAATACCTAAGGTTAATGTGTTAGTGAGTTGTTATTATTCATCCTTAGGCTGATTAAATGTCACACCCCCGAATCGGAACATCGGATATATTTGGGGGAGATAACGTCATTTTATAGTATCATAACAATTAAATATAAATGCAACAAAGCGCTACAACCATTACATTGAATATTTAATAAGTATACATTGTATTCAAATATTCTTTACATGACATCCAACGCATGTAACAAATATAAAATCACTAAGTAAGAAAGATAAAATATAAAATACCTAAGGTTAATGTGTTAGTGAGTTGTTATTATTCATCCTTAGGCTGATTAAATGTCACACCCCCGAATCGGAACAACGGAAATATTTGGGGGAGATAGCGTCATTGTATAGTATCATAACAATTAAATATAAATGAAACAAAGCGCTACAACCATTACATTGAATATTTAATAAGTATACATTGTATTCAAATATTCTTTACATGACATCCAATGCATGTAACAAAAATAAATGAAATGATGTGATGACGTCCCATCCTCCCTAAAATTCTCTCGGCTACCTGTTTACTCATTCCCTAAGAATAAAAGTTATTTTGAAAAGTGTCAACAATTAAGTTTGTGAGTTCATATGCATTTTGTATGAAAAGGGGTTTGTAATGTTTCGGAAAACGATAGTGTATACATCCAGAAAATCCAATATTTTCTTAAAATGAGCTGTAAGTCTTAGGTACCAAGACTAAAAATGAAAGTAATATTGTACTGTAAAATGATGTAAACAAGTTTTATCCTTATATGAAACTACTTTAAATGTATGTTACTCCATAAATCAAATGTGTTGTTGATACTCTATGTGACTTATTATAACCATACTAATACGACTAGTGGCATGAACGACATGCATCCAGCGTCGGAACTGTTACGATATTTGTTACTCCAGACCTATCGGTCTAAGTGTAGCTAACGGTTTAGATGTGGGGTTATCAATCCTGTATAGATCTATACACAAGTGTCACACTCTCCCAACAAGAGACTCTTGTTATAATTCAAGACTTTAATGTGTACTCTGGTGGGTACGGTGAAGCTAACTGTCTCACAATATTGTATCAGATGATTTACGTGTACTAAAAACTCCTTTTGCTTGTAAATTAAATACTTATGTCCTTAAATAAATATTTGATTCTTATGGAATGATAGTCTAGTTTTGTGACTCCCCAACTATACTAATTATAGTTTATCTCGTTTGTTTATTGAAACTATTTATATAATCTTTTAAAGAAATATGTGTTGGGTTTTGAGCATACTAACACTCCAATGGTGTACATGCAACCATAGAAACCTTGGATCTATGTTTTCTCTAAAATACATGCAAATTTGATTTCCAAGGTTTACAACCTAACTAGCATGTTATGGGGTACTTGTAATATAAAGCTTTAAGTAGAATAAGATACCTTTCTTTTGTGGTTGATTGCTTGGAGTTTTAGAGCGTAGCACCAATATTGTGGATACCTCAAATGGTGTCACAAATCACCCAAAACAACTTGTAAATACTTGAGAGAATTTGATGTTTGCTAAAATCAGCCAACCATTGTTTCTCATACACACTAGTGCTAATTCTAGAACCAACACTACAAGAAAAATAGCCTTTAATGACGCGCAAACAATGGCACTCATGGATTCACGTTACCCATTTTTGGGCGTCCTTAAAAATAATGTCAGACTTCCAAAATTTGAAGGATAGTGGACATGCATTTTTGCGTGCCCTTAAATTAGTGTCTCAAGAAAAGAAATTAAAAACACGGAGGGCGCTTTATCTTAAACGTGCGTCTTCTGTAGGTGTCGCTTGATAATTTTAAGGAAACGCGCCTTGAGAAGTTAACGGGGGAAATGAAACCCTAAAATTTTGAAAACCCGCCTTTCTTTTCTACCTTCTTTTCTTTATCTTCACAATCGACTCTCCCCTTTTGTTTCTCTATTTCGATGGTTGTTTCCCTCTTTCCCTAATCACGTCGTTGCCGCGAATCAAACACCGCCAGGCAGTGGAAGAAGATGATGAAGTTTGTCGTTGTCGTATGCCGCCCTCCCTCGTTATCTCTAACTATCTCTTCCCTTTCTTTATTCTTCTCTTCTATGATCTCAGCCTCCTATTCACCCCTCTAAATCCTTACTTGTGAGTCCACACCACGCTTGTTTTTATCTTGTTATGGAAAATCAAGAAACATTCGAAAAACCTTAGGGTTTCGCTGTGAGGCCTCGTTTCTTCTTATCAGTATCGGATTTCTTCTTGGCTGAGGGGCCAGATTGACGAGACCTGTGAGAATTCTGAGATCGATCATTGCTCCCTGTGTGACTGTGTGAGGATACAGAGATTAATGGCTGCGACAGGGTTTAGCAAACCTCCTTATATCTTCTCTACCAGGTATAATAAATGTTGGGTCAAGTTTCTAGCTCTGCATTCTCTCTACCTCTGCATTCCCTCTCTCTCTCTCTGGAAAACCCTAATCACCCTTCTGGTTTTCTAAACCAAGAAAAAGCGTGGTTTGTGTATTTGTAAACCCGATATAGACATTTTTGGGTCCGATTTTTAGGGATTACCATAAATCCCCCTAAATCCAACCATTACACTTGTTCATTCATTCCCAATAAATCCCTTCATCTTGATTACGATCTACAAACCCCCTAAATCCCCCAGTTAGAGTATCTACCATGGATGCTCTATGCCAACCTAATCTCGATCTTAGTAATTCTTCACCCCTTTCATCAATTTACACCAAAACCCCTCAAACACCAACCTCTTCAACTTTTCCCTATAAGTACCGATTATCTTCTTCCAGTTTCAATGGTTACCATAGCAAGTGTAAAGTACCAACACCACCTCAAGCTTTACCCAAGGAAAATTCGAACGAATCAGTTGAATCCAATAAGAAATTGATTGATTCAATCGCTAAAGGTTTGATCAGGCTCGCTGCTGCAGTCTCTGTTTGTTTAGATTCGCCAGCTCTTGCCGAGTCCTTGACAATAGCATTCCCAACTTCTCATACTCATGAGGTAGGTGTTCAGTTCGATCATCTTTTTTAGTAGTTTGTTTGGGTTGTGCAGATAAGGTGTTCAATCTATTGCTTATATGGGTTTGGTAAAATTTGATTTCGTAACAGGTGAATGCTGTGCAGCAAACTCTCGTAGAGACTTGGGGTTTGATCAGAGAGACTTTTGTTGATCCAACTTTTAATCATCAAGGTACGATTCATTTCTGTTGTTTTATGTCATTTAGTTTCAATAAGTTTAATGTAAGTTTATGTGTTTTCTGTAGACTGGGACTCGAAATTCCAACAAACAATGGTGGAAATGCATCCACTTAGAACAGCTGATGCCGCATACAGCAAGATTAAAGGAATGCTTTCTACTCTTGGAGATCGCTTCACTCGCATTATCAGTCCAAAGGTGCAACTTTTCCCATTACTTTTACAAAAATTGTCCCTGTGGTTTCTAAAAGAGTTTTCAGTTTTGGACTAAAATTTAGAAACAACAGGAACCATTTTTGTAACTTATTCTTACTCCTAGATTCCAAAAGGGGGAACTTACTCTATTTTCTTTTCGGCAATGATTTGTACAGGAATACCAATGTTTTAGAATTGGAATTGATGGAAACGTACAAGGAGTTGGACTATTTGTGAATCCTGAACCAGAAACCGGTCATCTGGTTTGTGATGCTGAGACTTGAACCTGAGACCTCAGTTATGGATTCTTATTTATTATTTTATTTTTAAAAATTTAAAATTTTTTGTTTCACGTTTT